GGTCCAATAAGGAATATTTCTGTCTTATGAGAAAGACAATTAGAAATTAGAACAATGAGAAAATTATTGGTCATCCAATCTTTTACATTTTTAACACACCCTGTTAGCTTAGATAATTTAGATGTTTCATCTGGTCTTAATTTTGTTCAATATAGTTGAGTATCATCAGCATAACAGTGGAAACTAATAACGTATTTTCTAATAATATTACCAAGGGGCAACATGTATATTGAATCCGGTACAGTAGGTGGCGGTATGCACCTGACAAGTTATGATTGCAATCTGCAATTAAACTAAAAGAAAAAGTCTGGAGTCGCTCACACATAATCAGTTTAGTAAATAAAATAAACATTTTTAATTTTGTTTAGTTTAAGTTAATTTGGTGTACAGAACATACTGGATTATTCCTGAATGCACTAATACTGGACATAGTGTCACTCTCGAAAATCTGATGCTGAACTTCTGGAGAGTGTGGTTTTTGCATTAAGTGAGGAAAAACAAAACTATATGTTTGATTCTTCTGCTTTTTATGCTGGTATGTTTTCATTTACTAATAGCTCACACAGGCTGCACTACATGTTTATCATTTCTGTGATGTGAAGCTGATGTGATAATGAACATCTAAACAAACCATCATCATGTTTAAACTGAACCAAAGGTGGACAGTAATGAATATATTTGCTTAGTTATCTGAACTTAAGTACACTTTCAGTATCTGTACTTTACCTTTAGTATTATTTTTTATGGAAACTTGTGACTTTTACTTGAGTAAAAATCTGTCTTTACAACTTTCACTTGAAATGGAGTAATATTTGACCAGCAGTATCTGTACTTTAGAGTCAAGTAATGGAGTTTTGTATTTTGTCCACCTCTGAATTTAACTAACAGACATGATCACAGATCCAGCAGAAGCTGAAGTCAGTAGGACTGCTGGATTATTATTCAGAGGTATCACACTCTTTACATTGTTCATCGTTTCATAGCTTTGATTTCATTCCAAGTTTCACAGACTTCACACGTCTTTACATTGTTCATCGTTTCATAGCTTTGATTTCATTCCCAGTTTCACAGACTGAGTCTCTGTTTTCTCTTGATTGTGTCTCTCATCTGTCCTGCAGTGATTGTGATTATTGTTGAGTTTGCAGCGTTTGCTGCTCCTACTGTGATTCTTCTTCAGATCATCTGTACAAGAAGAGCTGGTGAGTTTTTGAGATGATTCACATTGATCTGAAACAATCTGCACTCATGAGAGCTCAGTAAATGCTTTTGTGTTGAATTATTTTGCAGGGAGGAAGGACTCGCAGCACCCAGAGGAAATAGAGATTAATACAATATTAGAGTAAAATACTCTACAAATAACAGATTACAGCAAGATTTATCTACATCTCGATGATATGATGATATTTATACAGCTTACGTGGACATTTGCTCCTTATACTGTACTGAATGCTTTAAATATAATATTAAATACAGATATCAACAGAAGTGCTTTTAATAACCATGAATAATTATTACAGAAATCCTAATAGAAATGCATGGAAATTTTCTAATCTTGATTCATCTAATCATTGCATTGATCTTTTTACAGAAAGCTTTTTAAATGTTGCAATAGTCCATTTTAACTGATGATGCATGCTACACATGTCTGTTAATTATCATACGACATATTTACTGATGTTTTTTGATTATTATTGTTCACTTATCATTTGATGCAGAGACAAATCCTTACGTAAATATCTGAATTATTGTCTTTCCCTCCTACATCATGCTGCAACATGTTTTTATGTCAAGCATCATATGCAGAAATATAAATTCATAATTTGCAAACCTTTTTTTTTTGGTCTTCAGATTTGTGATTAATACTTATTTGAGTTTATTTCAAAGTGTAAAAGTAGGGTATTTAACTCTGATATTGGGTTAATAACCAGTATCTGGGTAAAATAAAAGGGACTTGGTATTTATTAACTTAATACACCAGAAGCCTTTAGATTTTATAATAATAATAAAGGAATATTTATCAATATTAAAGTAATACTGACAAGAAAAACAGAAAACCACTCTTATCTCTTGGTAGATTAATACAAAGATATGCCTTACAAAAAGAAATAAAGTAACTATATATCTAAAATGAATTACCCACTTCTCAGTCAAACTCTGACATTATAGCCCATCATAATTATTCACAGAATTCATTTAGCAGAACCAGTTGGGAAGCTCAGAACAGTTTTGTTATAATTAGATCAGATATCACAGTTTGTCTGATATCAGTGCTGTTTGTAACAATATTAGTAACTGAACTAGCTTGTTAGCATTAGCCAGTGTTAAACTTGTGCAGTAAGAGGGTCACTGCTCATTCATCTATAGCTATAGTAGACTGAGACTGTAAGGTTGCTTTGAGCTGGAGTTTCTTTGGGCCATCGAGACATGTTATCAGCATTATAGGACGACACCTGCTTTCTCTCACAGTCCGAGGGTGTTTTGGGGTCCTGGAAAAGTTTTGACATTCCTGAGAAGACAAAGGCCCGCATAATGAGTTGCATAATGAGCCTTTCAGTCAGGTGTGAGACTGAGAGGGAATTGCTACAAGAAAGAATGTAAGGAAAAAAGAAATTTATATATTTTTGGTTTGTAGTTTATTTAGAATACATATAACTATCACATAAAATAACTCATGGGAGTATGTACTTCACGTGGTCTTAGCTGTGGTCCAGGTTACTGTGCAGGCAGGAATCTCAGAGCCTGTGGAACATGTCAACGTCAGTCTCTGGTTTCCATGACCAAGTGGGCTGCTTTGCTTTGGCTCTCTTTGCAACAGGTTCTTTTACACTGTTATTCTCACATCTGAAATAAAAAAAGTAAGCATGCTGTTTACACAAACTACATTATTAACATTATTGTGATGTTCACTGATACTAGTACT